CCTCCCTCCCTCCCTCCCTCCCTCCCTCCCTCTCTCTCTCTCTCTCTCTGTAACCTTTCATCCATTTCTCATCCTCCCTCTTTTTTAAATAAAGACTTGGGGGGGTTAGAAGATAGTGGGAAGTTAGAATTTTAACCCCTTTGTTTCTTTTCATTGGGAGAGATCTTAATTAAAAGCTGTTTTAGCTGCTTCAGTCACCTTGAGTTCAGGTGAGAAGGTAATATTCAGGAACAGCTTGGAGTTTCCCTGTTTTTTCTTTTCTTTTCTTTTCTGGATCTCAAGATTTCTTTGCAGCCTTCAAACTTCTCAAAGTGTATGGAGAAAAAGTAGAATGTGTACAATCTCTAGGGCCTAGGCTAACTCAACAAACTGCCTTGAACTTTCTTGGGTATGGCGTGTGAAAACGCCTGCAAAAACCTTTGTGCATGCCTGTCATTATATATATATATAATATATACATATAGTCTTTTTTTTTTTTTTTACAAAAAATGTTGGAAATGTGCCTATTGTTGGAATACTGTTTAGATAGGAACCGGTGTATCTCTACAGAAGGGAGACTATCCAGAGGGGGTTGGGGAAGAGAGTGGGAGGGATTGCAGTGGGGGTTCATTTTTGACATCCAGGCATATAATATAAAAAAATAGCCAGAGGGAGTTTATGTGAAGTACTTGGGTAGAGGAGAAAAATATAGCTTGAAACGCTCTTTGTGGGTTTCTGGAAAATGCCTTATTCCTCGTTTATTCCCTTGTTAAAGGAAAAAAAACACCTCAGAAGGCTTTTGTAAAGAGCGAGTGTAGCCCCCTCCCCATAGATAACATGCTGGATAGTCTTAATTGGCAGAGTTGGCCTTTCCAGTCAACCTCTCCCTCCCCCCCCTCTTTCTCCCGGCTGGGGAAGAAATATTAATATCTTATCGATCTGATCTCAGGGTCAGAAATTTGTCCTGGCACCTTTGCTGAAGATAGAAGAGAGGAAGACTGGGGAAATAAAGATTTATAAGCAAGCCTCCTCCCCACCCCCCAAAAAAGAGATTTATTGGGGAATCAGGCTTCAGATTCCCTTTCTGTCCTTGTCTCCCTTCTCTTGGAGGTGTCCTTTGTTCTGAAGGTTTAATTTGGGTAGCGTGCAAGTGCATAGAGAGAAATGTACACCTACACACACACATGCACGCACACACACACACATTCACGCTTGCATGCACACGGATGCAGGCCACCGCTTATGCAGACCTTTTAACTGCTTTAAAAAAATCATAATTCCGAGGGGATCTCTAGAGAAATCTTGGAGGCACCGAGAAGGCTAGCTGGGGCTGACTTGAATGTCCTTTGTTGAGGGGGAAGAGAAGGAAGGGTTTGGTTTGGGGGTGGGTGGGGGTGGAGGATGGGGCTATCTGGAGTGTCTCAACCACTCTCTTTGTTTAACTAGATCCCCCCCTTAGCTTTGTTAGAGAATGCAGAACGGATCGGTCCTTAAGATGCAAAACGGGTCTTGCCTTCCTACAACCAACTCTCTTGGCTGCAGCAGGGCCCCCAAAACTCCCAAGCCCACCCCCCCTCCGTTGACTCCTTCCCAGCCTTCTGAGCTTACAGGGCACCGAAGGAGGATCTAAAAATCGTTATCAAATCTAGTTTTGTTTTATTTTTTTAAAACAAATATCGTTTACATCTCCCAGCCTTTCTGGCAATTCTGAAGTTCCAAGTATCCATACAAACTTAGGGAAATATTCTGATTTTGGAATAATGGGTAAAATGATAGATTGAAGGGGGGGGCGGTTTTATCAATCAGTCTCCTCCCAAAGCTGCCTCCCCCCCCCCAATCATCTTTCGAGAACCAGACTTGGAAAAATTAAAATAAAATTCACCCACCTTCAAGTCTCTTTCTTCTACAGCCTCCACCCCCACACCAAAAATATTCAATAGCTCCTGATGGGATTCTTTATTTGCCCCCCCCCCTTTTTTTTAAACCTTCCTTAGCTTCCCAGATCTGTCAATTCAATTGTCTGGAACCGTAGTCAGTTCGCAAAGCAAGGGATCATTTTCTGTTGGAGAGTTGTCTGCAGAATCAAAGCC